TCCTTCTTGTTCTTCCATGTGAGCTGCCCCCACAGCATGGCTACTGACAGACGAGTGGTGTGCTTCCATGTCCAGGACCTGAACCCGGGCCGCTGAAGCAGAGTGTGCTGAAGTTTAACTGCTAGGCCATCAGGGCTGGCTCCCCTATGTGGTCTTTTGCATTTGCCTTCTTCCACTGAGCATGTTTTCAAGGTTCACCCATGTTGTAGCATGTATCAGGACTTTGTTCCTTTTTATAGCTGAATAATATTCCATTGTATAGATAGACCACATCTGGCTTATCCATTCATCAGTTGATAGACATGCGGGTTGTTTCTACTTTTTAGCTATTATGAAGAATGCTGCTATGAACATCTGCATGCAAGACTTTACGTGGATCTCTGTTTGCATTTCTTTTGAGTATATACTTAGAACTAGAGTCACAGGACATATCTAAGTCTGACTTTCCAAGAAACTGCCAGATTTTTCCAAAGTGGCTGCACCATTTTACGTTCCCGCCAGCATCCTAGTCAACACTCGTCTGTCTTTTTGATTATATCCATTCTGGTGGGTGTGAAGATATGGGTGTTTGAAAATTGGCTTTACCAATTTGCACTCCCACTGAAGGTGTGCAACAGTACTTGTTTCTGCCCATCCTCATCAACAATAGCTATTATCAATCTATTTAATTTTTGCTTTGTGAATTTTTGTGTAACATGACCCCATTGTTGCTTTAGATTGCATTTTCCTGATACTAGTGACATTGAGCATCTCTTCATATATTAATGGGACATTTGTATTTCTTCTTCTGGGAATTGCCTGTTACATATTTATTCACTTTTTTTATTGGATTGACAATTATAGACATTCTGTATGTAACGTAGGTATCATTCAGTGCCGATTTGTATGTAGTGTATCTTAGTCTGTTACTTGTCTTTTAACCTTTCTTATGATTTCTTTTTTGTACAAGAATGTTTCATTTTGACTAATCTGTCAGTTTTCCTCATTATAAATTTTGGGTTAGATGTTTTGCTTAGGAAAGCCTCTCCCACTCCCAGGATTATATAAATATTCCCTTGTATTTTCTTCTAAACTTCTACAGTTTTATTTTTATGCTGAACACTTGAACAAATTTGGAAATTAGTCTTACATATGGTGTTAGATAGAGGAATACATATTTGTTTGGTTTCAATGGCCCAAAGCTTTTCACTGAATTGTTTATCCTGATTTGAAATAAAATTCTACCTCCATCATAAAGCAAATTTCAATATGTAAATGAGTCTCTTTCTGGACTTTATATTCTGTTGCATTGATCTATTGGTGTCCTCTGGGCCAATATCAGACCAGTTCGATTACTATTGCTTCAAAGTGTGTTTTAGCATCTGGTCCGGAAAGTCCCCTTTCATAATTCTTATTTTATAAGAAAATATCTCAGTTAATCTTTGTAAGCGTAATGAAAACACTTCTGGTTCAATGAGACTCATACCACAAGAAATATAGGGTAGAACCACATAAGGGGTTAAAATGGAGAAACGAGGGCAATTTCCTGTCCTTTAGTGCCATCACTCCTATGCGTGCAGGAGCACACTCGTAACGCCCTTGTCACCTCTTATGCCAGATCTTGACCTCTCCTTCGATTCTCCATCAAGAGGAACCGGGACTTCTTGAAAGGCACATAGTCCTACATCCTATGTCAGGAGAAAAAATCAGGATGGTCTGAAACATCCTATTGTTGTAACAAATTAAGGATGCTTTCATAGCTATTAGAAGCAATTATTTTATAAAAATCAAAAAACAAAAACAAAGGAATAAGCTGGAAGGGGTTCCACTAGCCAAGCTGTAATATTCTGAACATCAAAAAAAGAAGATGAAAATTATAAGCTGAATCTACAGAAGGCCACAGATTCATGATACTTAAGAGAAAAAGGAATTTTAATACAAAATAAGGATGATTATAGGATATGTTTAAGGGAATATTCACGTATGAGGGTATTTTGTTTGTTCTACTAAGAACATTTTTTTAAAGTATGGCCATGTGCTTATTTCTAGCGATGCATACAGCAAAGAACAAATATAGGAAATCTGAACAATAGAGAAAATAGAAAACAATAGTACAAGAAGAAGCTGACCATTGTCAGTGGTCACATGTAGTAATCAAGCCGAAAAGGAAATGTTCATCACACACAATAACAAATTTGAAAGGACTCAAGAGTATGTCCAAGATGATAAATAACCAAATGTCTAAAAGAATTCCCCACGCAGACTTGATGACTCTTCGCAGACAAATTTCAATATGAGCCTAGTAATTATACAAGATATTGATGAGGCATACATAAGTTTTCACTAATGCTAATGGACAAGATCAATTTATCATCAAAGCAAGACAATGAGTTAGAGAACGCTGGCCTTGCAAAATTAAAGCACATTTCATTGCTAGGAAAGGTAGCAAGTTTCAAAAATTTAAAGTAATATAAATGACAAGATATTAAAAATCCATGACAAAGCAAGTAAGAATTAATGATAAAAGGGCTCAGCCCAACGTCTGTGGCTCGTGGTTGAATCATTGTGGACTGTGCAGCCAGGCTTCGTCCTAAGCAAGAATCAGTCAACGACCCAGATTATGCTCCCTGTTAGTCTGAAGAAATATTCCTTTTCTTTTAGGCTTGGTAAGGTTACTACCAACCCAAGAAATATAATAAAGTATAACTGAATGACTAAGAAGACATGAAAATAAATACGGCCTTAATAGTAAACGATTCTGAAAGTAAAAATTATTGGACAAAAAGCTCAAAAGTTGATTTTTAAAAATAGGTTTCTGTAAAATTATTTTTTTAAATGTGCTAATCATTGTATTCAAATGTGAAGGTTAATTTTACGTGTCAACTTGACTGGGCCACAGGGTACCCAGATTAAACATTATTTCTGGGTGTGTCCAAGAGGGTGTTTCCAGATAAGGCTGGTATATGAATCAGAGGACTCAGTAAAGTGGACTGCCCTTCCCAATGTTGGTGGGCCTCACCCAATCAGTTGAGGGCCTGCAGAGAACAAGAGGTGGAAGATGGGAGGCTTCCCTCTCTCTCCGCCTGACCGCTGAGCTGGCACATGGTCTCCTGCTCTCAGACTGGGATTTCCAGCATCCGCTCCCCCGGTTCTCAGGCCTTCGAACTTGAACTTAATCATACCACCAGCTTTGCTGGGTCTTCAACTTGCAGACAGCCAACTGTGGGAATTCTCAGCCTCCAGGATCACATGAGCCAATTCCTCATAATATACCTTGCTTTACATGTGTTTACATACATATCTTTCCTATTGGCTCTTGCCTTATATATATTTATAGATATCTTTCCCATATATACATTTCCTATTGGCTCTGTTTCTCTGGAGAATCCTAACTAAAACATCGAGAATGGTTTGTGTACCATTTAAGGAATGAGAAAGGTTCAAAACAGTCAGGTACACTAAATCTGTAATTACAGTTTAAGTTGTTTGAGGCAATGTAATTAAATTTACAATAAAGGTTTAAATGCTCAAGAAAAATTGGTGTTTCCTCTTTTCTTCCTGAATAGTTCAATCAAAGCCACTAGGCAGGGCCAGAGGGACAAGGGTGAGTGAGTAAGCTAGGAGACTGGCTACATACAGGGTGACTGAGAAAATAACTAAGTGCATGGAGGAGGGTGGCAGCCAGGTTTAACGGCTAGACAGGGGCGCCACAAACATGGAAGTGGGGAAAGCTGGAATACGCTATTGGGTTAGAATTGGGAGTATCGATGTGAGCTCATGATTTCCAACAAACATCAATGCAAATGTGTGAATACATATTTACACTTCCACACACACATATATTTCCTAATTCTGAGGGGCCTTGGAGCAACAATTTCCCAGTAATAACCAGCACACTTTCAATAAATAACCAAATGTCCTTTGTACCAGATTCTGTTCGGTATTACCATCTTGCTAGGAAATCTAGGAGCACGTGGGAAGACATTCCAAAACCTCCCCACTTGATAATCAGGCTGCATTTCCTCATGCAGACAAAAAAAAAAAAAAGTAGAAATTATAATTGTGAGGCTAGCTCATGAAGATTTTCTTTATCCTAAGACCTTGGAAATAAAATACATCATTTCCCATTATACGAGTAAATGGAAGCCTGGCAGTATTATTTTAATACCTCTTGTAGCTACACTATAACATTTTAAATCTTACCAAACCCGTTGAATTGCCCTCTGTCTTCTTTCCAATCGGTTACTACTCCTGTAAGAAACAAAGAGATAGTGGCCCAATGACATGGATTGACAGCCTCAAAACTGTCACCTTGGTAACTGCCCGGTTATTCCAAGGATGCAGTTACCACTCAAATCTTTTTGGGAACCCACCTTCTGCACTGGCCTTCGGAACTCATGGTTTAACTTGGACGCAGCAAGTCTTCACTGCCCTGAGTAGATGTGATTAAGAGTCCAAAGACACTAGGGGTTGGGTGATCAAGCCGAGTAGTAATTTTGGGTTGGAAAATAAAGGCATAACTATAAGTAGACTTGAACTCCCCAACTATTTTAACCAATAGTATAATGCAATCATGCATATACCTTGCCAAACTAACTCAAAGATGACTTTAATTCAGCTGAATAAGCAAAAGAATTTCATGGTCATGCTTCAGACATGCCATGTGTACTAGCTCAAAAGCACCAAGACATGGCCTTTCCCAGAATCTATCTCCCACTGTCCTAGCAGGCTCCCCAAATTCAGAAGACTTTGATCAGAAGGACTGACAACTGCTGCTAAAATACCACATATCCTACGCAAAGTGTAGCATAACCTCTTAGCATGAATTTGTTTGACCTAATGAATAGTCAGCCTTGAGTGACACAAGGCAAGAGGACATAATTTATTTGAGGGGGAGGCTGTGCAAGAGGACAGTCACCAAAGGGAGACTCTAGAACCGCCTTCTAACCCTCCAACTGCACACGGCCCCCCACCGTCAGCTCTGCCATCCATCCTCCACAGATCAGACACACTCGGCGGCGTGGTCCAAGCAAGTATTGATTTTTATTAAGAATAACTTTGGTTCTAAGAATTCCACCCTCGATTCTGTAAGACTTTCATTAAAAACAATTATACAAGAGCAAATACAAAAAAATATTAAATTATGAAAACAAACCCATTAAGGCTCCCTTTATATATATTATATACACTCAAACAAGTCAAGATTTTTCGGAGTAGAAGAATAGAGTCAACTGTTATAGCTTAGAAAGCAACAGTGCCTTACTACGAGACTATAAAACACTCGACTATTTTAAGAAAACCATAGAGTGGAAAAATGGAGCCATTTTTGTCAAAAAGTGGCTCAAAGCACGAAACTGCTTGGATATTTATGAGTCCTAGGGGTTTGGACTGTACAGTAGGCGGGAGACTGATGCTTATGTAATCAAGCTAGTGAGCCGACCCGATGTGACAACTTCTGAGAGCTCCCCTCCCTGGACAGTCCACTTTTCGTCCTAAGACATCAGCCTGCGCTATTTACAAGTAGACCTTGTGTACTAACTACACAAAATTCTGCAGATTTGTGAGTGAGACTGGGAGGGAAACGCTTTTGTGATTTTTTTTTCCCCAGTGAAGAAGGAATTCTTGGTAAGTTCTAGGAACAGGATTGGTCCTTCGAAAGGGGCCTGCTGGGGCCCTTGGGAATTTTATCAAGTGGCAGAATTGCTTCCAGAACACAGGATCTATAAAGATCTAACACCCAGTTAGATGAAAGGCTAGGAGCCGGTCCTGAATCTTCACTTTACAAATCACATTGTTAGTCCATATACACGAAGAAAGAACTCTAGTCAATGTGCAATCAGAAATGTACTTTCAAGATGATGAGTTAATGTACTTTTTTCTCTCAAAAGGAAGAACGATGGAAAAAAATAGTTACCATTCCATCCTTCGAAAGCAAACTATGATAGAGCAAGACTTTACCTTAAACATCTCATATTTTATTCAAATAATACTTGCTGATGAGAGAAATAATCCATTTCAGTTGTAATCAACATGTTCCCTAACTAGCAGTATATTCTCATTGCATTTATTCATATCTTGTTCACATGAGGACTGAGTATGAGCCTAATCATCAACTCTGAAAACTAAAGCATTCCCATAGAAAGCTAATTTCTACTACGTTTATTAAGGATTCAAAAGCTTGGGATCTAGCTTTCTATGAGCCTTTAAAGGAGTATAAGAAGATCTTCAATGTAGAGATTACTGGCTGTACCATCTCCATGGAGAACATACTGAATCCACACAAATTCTTCCAGATGACCCCAAGTAGAATGTACCTCTGCCCAGAGCAGCTGTATGAAATGGATTTTGTGTAAGAATTTTGCTACTATTCTTAACTCGGACATCACTTGGAGGAGCATGCTAGCTAGAGTGCAGAAACCAAGCAGCCTCTCCCTTCACCTCAATTTTTCCTGAGAGATGCAGAACAGTAGTCATCAACGTCCTTGTTATCAACAGCATCATCATCACTAAGAGAGTGGTGGACCAGTCTTTCTTCACAAGAAAAACAAGGCAAAGAAATGGGGGATCATTAATCAGAAACTTTCAAAACTTGGATTCTAATAATATTCAAAATGTACAAAAGCTGTAAATCTTCCAACAAGGCCTCCTTAGACCAAACCACATTTGTTTCACATTAAAATACCCGAAAAACTCCTTGCCCAGTTCCCAGTAGGAGCTTTCCTCAAACAGCTCTCAAAAGAAATCAAAAGATGTGGACCCTTTACTTTTGACACTGAAGTTGGGTTATATGGACTAGTTTTTATTCTCCAAATGACTGGGAGATTATTTCATTTAAAAGGGCCAGCTCAGCAAGAAATTAAAAAGCAAAACAAAACAAAAACCCTAATAGTTATCAAAGCAATAAATGGATTTATATGATGTGCTTTCTCTGAACTGGAATGTCACTGTGGAGCCTACTAATATCACAGAACCGAAAGAAATTAAAATAAGATCAAGATGGATGTTGACGTATTTTTGTTTACGTATTTTTAAACCTTCTCACCCCATTTCTGAGTCTTAGTGCCAACAAAGGTAGTAGCTGTGCTCAACATCCACACGAACATTCTCCGGCGTTAACTGTAATGTGGGTGAAAGTATAAATTGACCAAGAAAATGTTGGGTTCTCAAAATGGAATTTACAAACATTGGGTGTAACAAATCAAACACATTTCTGTGCAATCCAATAGATAACTAAAGGAACAAGGAAACACATTTTCTTTAGGTTTTCAAAGAAAAAAGGCTCTGTGCCCCACTAAACTTGGACCGGAAGAAAAACCAAGTAGTGCAACTCTCAAGAATTTATTCCAGTGTCCTCTTCCTCTGTCGTTGATGCTTCTTTTGATCAGGTCTGTGAACACAGGTCTGTTAGCCCAACTCAAGTGCTGGTCAAGGTCCTTCGTTTGGCGAACAGAACTGCAACTGTCACAGGTAGTTTATCCACCAAGATTGTAGGAAAACCAAATCAAATCCTTCTGAAGGTAACAATTCTCTGCTGGCTGGGACTCTCCCCAGGGGCTCCGGCCCTGAGAGGAAGTGTTGAGCAGACGCCTGCAGCCCGCTTCCGAGCGCGACGGGCCGGGCGCATCTCTGCGGCCCGGGCCTACGACTCCTGGGCTTGGGCCACTTCCTGGCCTGTTCTCCTGAGATTCCCTTTGACCTTCACAAACTCTGGCGCATTTTCCTGCTCTTCTTGCAATTTCTGATTCTCGAGTTCCAGCTAGATGGGATTCAGAAACAGGAAAGTGATTCACAAACTGAGCGGCTTTTCAAAGTCCCTGGCGACTTCATCTCCCAAGGGGAGAAAGTCTCTTCCGGTCTCCACTTTAAATATATATACATATGGATGCATACGGGTCCTGCAGTAATTCTGTGCAGGAGCAGCAGCCCATTGGCTGTTACCACAAGCAATGTCAGGAGAGGATGAGAACCTAAAAATCAAGGCTAAGAACACAAGACGCTCAGATAACACATGTCGCCCTGTAGTCTGTCTCAGTGAAGCTGAGTTTCCCAACCCTCTGCTGTGAATTCCGTGACAGCCCCTGGTATGGGCTCTGGCCCCTGAATCTCTTCCAGGCCCTCGACAAAATCCCTGTCTTTACCCTGAAGGTATTTTAGCCTATTTTCTGACATTTTGTCTCATATTTTCCTGTCATGGTATCAACACCAACACCTGACGTGTCTGGTGAATTCTGCTCTTTCCAACATCCATATTTCTCAGGACCAAAAAGGGCTATTTTTGAAGTAAGTCAGAGAAAGCCCAATACTGCATGATCTCTCTTATATGTGGAATCTAAAAAAATCGAAACTGTAAAAGCAGAGAGTAAAACGGTGGTTACCAAGGGCTGGGGGCTGGGGGAATTGGGAGACGTTATTTCAGGGAACATAATTGCCACTGTACATAAGTAAATCCTGGAGACCTAATACATGGTACCGTGATTAAAGCCAAAAAAATTGTACTCTGAATATTAAACTTGCTAAGGGACTAGATCGCAATTGTTTCCAACATTAGAAGAAATGATAATAACGTGATGCGTTAGAGGCGTCCGCTAACGCGACAGTGGTGATCACACTGTAATATGATGGTATCAGATCAATATGCTGTACACTTGAACTGACAATAACTTAAACTGACGCAAGGTTGTATGTCAAGTATTTCTCCATTAAAAAAAAAAGACAACTTTCACCCTCACCTGCTCCAACTTCTGCTGCCGTTTTAATAGTTCGATTTCAAAGTCAGATTTCTTCTTCTGCGCTGCTTCCTCCTTCTGCTTTATCACTTGATCTCGTTTTCTCTTTTCCATCACTTTCTGCAGTTCTGGCTTATTCTGAGGGGCAAGACCCCTGCAAAAAAAAGCATTAAGAAAAATAAACGATTTTAATCTAGCGGACCAAGCTTTCATGCAGAGAAATTTAATGGAAGGCATCAGCCTCAGAAAAGGGGTCTACCGAATGAGCATGATTTTTTTTTTTGTTTTTTGAGGAAGATTAGCCCTGAGCTAACATCTCCTGCCAATCCTCCTGTCTTTGCTGAGGAAGACTGGCCCTGAGCTAACATCCATGTCCATCTTCCTCTACTTTATGCATGGGACGCCTACCACAGCATGGCTTTTGCCAAGCAGTGCCATGTCCGCACCTGGGATCCGAACCGGCAAAGCCCAGGCCACCAAGAAGGGGAATGTGCGAACTTAACCGCTGCACCACTGGGCCGGCCCCCAAATTAGCATGATTTTGAGGCCAACTACCTGTTACTAATCAACACCGGTGGTCTCAGAAATTCACAAGCATGAAGAAAGGGCCAGAGCATCTTCCAAATGTAAGCAAAGGAAATCCATTCATTCAATAAAAATGTATTGTGCACCTACTGTGCGCCAGGCATCAGGCCATGCAAAGGAGGTTAGTGAGAGTAGGATGGAGTGGGGAACAGCACACTCATTTGATGGATGCAACGAGCACCCATGATGGAGATGGAGATGGCTAGAACCTGAAATGCCCCCTCCTGGAGTTTCAGGGGAAGCTTCCCAAGTTCTAGCCCCCGATTTCGTGCACTAAATGTAGCCTAGAGACAGGCTAGCACAGAAATTTAAAGAGAAAACGGCCCTGAAAACCTCTTCCGAATTTTTCAGATTGGGAAGAGGGTTCTTGTACATCTAAAGGCAGCTCCAAGCTTTCCTCATTACTGGGGGGCACGACCGCGGAGAACTCTGACCCCCAACTCCCAGTCCAGTGCTCCCTGCAGGGTGCCATGTCACATGTGTCGTTTCCTCACGCACGGGAGCCAGGCTTCAGGGGAAGCGCCACATTTCTGAGGAGTAAATTAGGGCTGCCGTCTCTTCAATCGGGGAGAACCAAACCCAAAACTGAGGCCACTCCCTAGCAGCCCTCCCCTCAGAAAGGTGGGATGCAGGTCAGGGTAAGGACATTCAGGATCTCCTCAGGCGGGATGTCTGTGTTAACTGTTAGCTACAACTCTCCTTCTCTATTTCTCTGCCATTTCCTTAGGATTTCTCCAGTCCAGGCTTCCCAAGATGCTGAAGTGAGCCCGTCCACCTCCTCTGGACTGTCTTCCTTCTCTTCACGTTAGCTCTTAAGTAATTTCAACTTGATGCTAACAGTTACTAACAGCATTTAAAATAAAAAGGAAACAACTCACAGCACAGGAAAAACACTATCGATTCCAGGCAGCACAGGATATAGGTAATGGTGGGCATTTTCACACTCACACGCACACGTCCACACACACACTTGACCGAATAGTAACACGGGCTTTTCTGGGCTGCGGAAATGAACACTGCTGAATCCCCCTGGCCTGAGACGGGCCTGTGCACCAGCCCCCTACCTTCTGGTCTTGCTGCTGCTGACTGCGAGTCTGCAGATGAGGAGCGTCTACCTCTGTGGCTGTTCCCTAAGCTGCATCAATCACCCGAGGGGACTAAGTACCTGGGAGTCATTTGAGTAGCTGTTCAGTCAAATAATTTCCAGAATGCGTGCTCTGGTTGTAAGAAATTCAACGACACACTCGTCTCCATCTCTTTCAGGTCCACACTATCACATCTGTAAATGAAACCTCAATTTCACACTCCTCATTTATCTAATTATCATTTTAAAAAATGCTATGGAATCTCTCCTACCTACCTATTTTTTTAAATCACAATAAGCTTTTCAAAGTAGCTGTTTACAAAGTAAAGATCAGTATGTCAATAAAGATAAAGGATACATAGTCAAAATAGCATATGTCTTCACATTCCCAATATGCATTAGCAGAACTTCTGGCAATAAAGAAGGAGGAAAAATATATTAAAATCATATATTAAAAAATTTAAAAGTATTAAATTCATAAATTCATATAATATTGAAAAATGTTAAATTAAATTTCCAGTGAAACCAAAGAGACAGGTTATCATTGTGATTTAATTACAGTTTCACAGTTATGAAGATCGCATGAGAGGAATAGAGGTATAGATGAATTATTCTGGAAATTAAATTTTTAATTAATGTAATAAAAACTGCTTATGGTACTTCGCTCACAATAAATGTGTCAAGAGCACAGGAAAATTTGTTTGTAAATAATCTGAGTAAAGACCCATCTGTTTCATGACTATTAAAAAGCCTCAGTATGATACTACAGAATTAAGGGATTAAATTTTAGGATTAAGAATTTAGCTCTCTGCATAATTTAAATTTCAAACATTTTTCTTTCCCTATATATCACTGGCAAAATTAACCGCAACTGTTATTAAATTCTTCTGGATTATGCCAAAGCTGTGGAATAAGCTTTGATGTATGACACAGCAAGCTGACATTCTATTGCAATGTATGAATGGGTTTAACTAATACACAGTATTCATTTTCTGTTCAAAGACTTTTACACAATGGTGGCAGTCAGATAAAATATTTAGCAAAAGAAAGCTCAGGAAAATGGTGCTTATATGATAAATGTTCTGCACTTCGAACAGTCGAGAAGTCATCCAAATTTAGTTAATATTTTATCTCAGCGGATCACTTCACTTTCCGTGCTGAATGGAAAAGTTAAGTACTCGCCCATATGGCTGAGTCCAAAAATGGATCCAACTGCACAGACAGCGTAGACAGACAGAAACGAGCTTCTCCAAATTTCATAAAAACTATAATATCATTCTTTGCACGAGAACAGCTGATTCTCTTGAATCAATTCTGACATATACACAATTAACAAGGAATTTCCATCCTTTTAGAACTGGTGGCTTTGTACCATTCAAGACCAGTTATTCCCAAGCCTGCTTCCTGTGACTATTATACAGTGGGCCAAGCCAATTTTTAAAATTAGTAAGTACATGTTGCAAAAAAATAGGTTAGGGAACATATACATAAATGTAAAGTAAAAAGTGAACGTACTCCTAAATTCTCCTCATTAAACAAATCTTGGGAGCACCAAAAACTTACGCTGTATTCTACGTGAGTGGTGGTCCCAAAAATTGTACAAGTTAGAGGCCCTGCCCCCGTGGACTCTTCCCCTCGCTGCACCCAGAGATAACTAATCATTTATGCTCCTCCATGCTTCCTACACCTTTACCAACAGAGCTCTTCCACATTCTTTTTAATATCTGCACAACAGAAGTGTCATAATTTTGCCACTCCCATCCTGACAAACAGGCTGTTTCCAGCTGTACCCTATTAAAGCAAGGAGGCAATGAACTTCCTTGTACGTTTATATTTGCACTGTTATACAAGTATTTCTGTTGGCTAGATTCATGGAAGTAGAATTGTTGGCTAAGCATGTGTACATTTTATACTTGATATACATTGCCAAACTCCCCTCCAAAAAGCCTGCAACAATGTATATACTTTCACTACCAGTGATGAAATGTATAGACAACTTTCAATGGTACGTTTCAGGTTTCACATAAACAACTGAATAAGGTCAGGGGCAGACTGGGAGCGTCCATACTTGCCCCACCTCCACTCCAGGTGCACTTGAACCCACAAACGGTGAACTTGCCTCCTCACCTGGGACAGCACTGAGCAGGAGGCAAGGGCTGGCTCAGACCCAAACAGAACATCTCCTGGCCTAATTATTTTCTTAGGGTGGCGGGCGAGAGCTGCATTTGGAGTTCAAGCCCTTGATTTTAATCTTGAAACCTTCTGGTTTGGCCTGCCTCATCCACATTTCTGGCTGAGCGATGTCTATCTGCATGGATTCAAATGCAAATATTCTTATCACAACTTCCCCTATCCCCCCCCCCCACCCCGCCGTATCGTACAGCAACAAGTATTTATTGAGGATCTATTTGTCTAGCAAAGCATGCGAAATGAAAATCAACTAAAAACACAGGAAACTAGACCTTTGACCGATATGAACAAGCCAAAGAACCAAATTTAGGAATGTGCTTAAGTAGTTGGGTAGTCTATATTTGCCCAAAAAAGTACTCTTTGTAGAGAAGACAGCATCTCTAAATTATATGAGAATTTTTTTTAAGACCTCTCAAACACTGATCTTTCAACTACAAAAAATAATGCCTCTTGAAATCTGCCTTTTTATGCCATTGGGAACATCTAAAGAACCTGAGAACCTGACAAAGGGTCTTAATAATCAGACCTAGTGGGAAACTGACCCGATTGAAATTTAAAGACTTTCAACCTGAAAGTTAGTTGGGTCCAAAAGATGGCAAATAGAGGAGCAGAATTATAACCTTGCAAGAGTGTAGGTTTCAACATTAGAATACCTATCAGTGTTTGTTCTCCTAAACAGTGACTGGGCTTTATCTTCTAATCTCTAAAAAGTAACTAGGAAGAACCCTTTGAACTAACTGCCACAGGGCTTTGAGCCAAATCTGTGGCTAGGTAGAGCAAAGGTCCAAGGCTCCATGGACAGCTGGTTTTGTGTTGATCTCATTTCTGTCTCCCTCCAATTTCCCTACCCCCTTCTTCTTATATTGTTACTATATCTGATTTATTTCTATAAACTGCCTTTAATTCTGTTTATTTCTACCCTTCTTTATTCCAGAAAACTATTGTGTGATCCTGAGAAGATTCCTTAGCCTGTTATTCTGAGTTGTCTCTTATTCACATGCCAAATTAGGGCAACTCCAAGATAATACATGTTGAGTTAATGGAAAGGGTCTGGATAAGATAAAATACGGGCAGGCCCTTGATAAATTGTAGAAAAGTAGGCAGACTTTCATTATGGTACAAACCACTAGTTAAGAACGATTATCTTTAACTACATATTATCGATGTGATCCTTCCTATTATTTGGCACCAAAATTTAGAAATAAAAAGCCTACAGTCTCTTAAAAGTATGTGATAGAAGACGGTCAAAAGAGAAGAAATTGCCTGAGAAGTTTTCACTCTAAAAGGTCATATTTCTAATAAGAGGACTTGACCCAACTAAGATTTTACCTTGAAAAACCTGAAGACACAGGATGAGATATACTCATTTAATTTTGAAACTTGCCTTTTCTCTTCTTTCTTTTTTTTAAAAGGTACTTGTACAGCCAGACCAGAAGCTTTCAAAGAAAAAGAGGAAAAAGCAACAGGAATTTCCAGATGATGCTACATAGGAAGGAAGTGGAAGATGGATGGGACTAATCGAGTACTTATTGTATGCCAGGTATTTTAATAGGTATTTATACATGCTATTATTTAATTCCATTTTATAAGAAAGAGACTTTTATCCCCTACTTTATAGATGAAGAAACAGAACAAGAAGGGGGAGCTTGTCCAAGATCATAAAAAGGTCAAGTTCAGTGGCGAGTCAGGATTCATACCATTTCTCTCTGACCTCAACCCCACGTCCTCTCTACACTGTGGTACTTGAGGGAACAGCAGCATTCTCCAAAACTAGCTGAGCTGGGCCTGGCTAGAGAGTCAGCTGTGTAAACAAGGAAAAGAAAGCATGGGCGAGAGCAGGTCAGACAGAGCGAGGTCCATCTTCACAGAATGCGCCTATTCTAGGAAATACGGAAACTTATTCAGTGCACGAACCCATAGATTTCCCAGAGCTGGAACCCAGGCCACTAATAGAAATTTTTGCAGAATAATTTGTAGCCTCTAGTTCAGAGAACAGTTCTTCTGCCAATTTTGGTTTTACTTTTGCCTCTATTCTGACTTGGAGCCTTTTCATAGATATAACAGAAAAAAAAATAAACAGTTTGAGCAAGAATGTTTCTTAGAGATTAACTAAGCCCCTTACTCCCATTTAACAGATAAGGGAACTGAGGTCCAAGATGCGAAAACAATCAGAATACCACCTAGTTTAGAAAACCATTTAGCAACTCTCTTTTGGCATACATTCAACTTTCGATCTTTCCACCAAAACGCAGACAGGTTTCCCAGGGCAGGACAGCCTCAAAATTCTGTGGCCTTACTAGGAATTTACACAGTCATGTTCTGCTTTGAGCATGATGACACCAAATCCATATTTTTTTTCCTTTTATCTGATAAAGACAGGTAGAAGCTAAACATCCATTCAAAAAGAATCAAACTTGCCTTCGATTTCATCAGCATTAACCCAAAAGCGCACTGGTGTGACAGGGTAAAAAGGGAATAAGCCACATTCCCAGTCTGGAGGGAGGATGTGTTTACAGAGAATTCCCAGGACAGGCAACATTTCTGGCAGGTGTGTACTCGGGAAGGAGAAATGCAACAAAAACGCCCCCTCATCCCCTTTTAAGAATTTTTTTTAATTAGCCCTTCCTCTAAGAGTACCCTAGCACTTAACTTGGTCTGCGTACCTTTCGGTTCAATCGTAGCCACCTTTTCACCAGGGCTTAGCAAAGAGTGGGTGAGTAATCTATAGGCCCACAATTCAGATCAACAGCTTCATTTGGAAGACATGAAAATAGTTCTCAAGGAAGCTTAATAATTCTTAAAGTAACTTCATATCTTAATAAATACAGTACCTGTGTCTCCTCCGCTCGCCCATGTTTACTAACCCTGCCCGGAATAACTTACAAAGCAGAGTACATCAGCCCAACATCCAAAAATTTTCACAGCCCAGATGGAGCTAACAAACGGTTTACAAAGAAGATGGAAGAGTAAATGTTTCACTCCTCTCCAAAAAATTAATAATAAAAATTATGACAGTAATAGTTTAAAATGTTACTTAAAACAAACAAAAACACCAGAAAGAGGCTGCTGATGGATTGTTAAGTCTGATGTGGTTCTAGAGACTTCTGCCACTCACGAATGCTAAGGCAGGCGATATTTACATCTGATTCCCACACTTCTGTGATGTAAGGGTAAAATTTAGAATTTTTACAAATCTGAGAAATAATATATTTTTCTTCTACTTAGGACACTCCCTTTTATCCTTAATGCAGCCCCTTCCATCCACATTTTAAATATGCAACCATTTCGGAGGGTGCTCAGGCCACAGAACTCTGCGCAACCCTGATGGTGGCAGCTGCGCCTGCAGCCGGCACTTCTCTGGGCGGAGGGGGACGCCCAGGCTCAGGAATGCCGGGAGGAGCAGGGAAGCCCTGCAGACGGCCATGAAATGAAAAACCCCACGAAACCTTTGCAAATGTCATTAAAATTAAATCTGGTTCCCTTCAAAGTCCGCTAAGGAAAACTCTGTTCAAGCAACCATCCTACCTTTTTTGATTCATGAGCAGCTCTCTGTGAAGATCTTGATGGTTCCGGGACATTTTGACAGGATTGACTAGTTTCTGAGGCCTAATTAGTTCAGGATTGTCATCTTCTATGTAGTCTGGCTCAGCCATGATGCTTCTCGGAATGAGATAGGCGTCCTTCAGGTTGGTGTCCTCGAACGGGTTGTCTGAAAGAGAAAGCCAAGGCTCCTTTGTGCTCTTTTCTGCTCAGGTGTCGTGCATGGTGGCGGAGGCCCACGTGGCCGTGCAGGTACGGCACGCGAACACGTGCCATCCTTCTCAGTCCACTTCCCCCCCTCACTGGACACTCTTCGGAAGCTTTGTGAAAGCCCCTGGGGGAGGAGAGGAGAGAGACGAATGTCCGCCTTGTTCTGTGTCACCTGGGACAAAAGCAGAGGAGCCCCACAACCTGACTCTGGTCACCACCAGTCACACCTTGAGTTTCGGGTCACATGGCATGCTTCCCACCACTGCCAGGTTGGTCTAAAGACCCACTTCACCCACAGTGAGCACCTGGGCACCAGACCCAGGGCCTTTATCGCTTCCTTCAGCCTCGCCAAGTTAATACACACCAGAAATGTGCAGACCCCTGGCCCTGCATCAGTGATGAGAAGTGTCTAGAGCACGGAGCCATGCTCCTTATCCTGCCACGCTACCAGTCCTGGTCCCCTCGCTCCTTACACGAGAGCCCTGGGGCTTCATCCTATTCACATCCTCTCAGGTCTCTCCTCAACTGTCACCTGCTCAGAGGCCTGACCTCCTGGCCACCCTGCTTCAACCCGCAATCCCACCCCCGACACTTCCCTGCTTTATCGGTGCTGCACGGTTTACTGGTTTGTTACTGGCTCTCCAGAGCACGTGTGACTGAGGACAAGGATGTCCTCTGCCCAGCCCCAGCTGCTCTAACCCCAGCAGCAGCACAGCACCTGAGAGGAAGTGCCAGAAGCAAGAGAAGGAGGGAGGGAAGGAGGGAGGGAGGGAGGGAGGGAGGGAGGAGCAAGACCCTGTCTCTGCAGGCTTTTCAGTTTTTCTGGAGGAGGGGTGGTCAGTGGCGTACAGGAGAAGAACAACTTGCTGTAACGCCTGGGCAGGGCCATAAAGCCTTGCTGGGCTTGGACTCCAGATCAGCAAAGTGAAGGGGACAGATGACAATCCCTCTAGGGTCCCTTCCCCCATATTCAGTTGTAGTTGTTCATTCTATAATTCAACTGAGTGTGTCCTCCCCAATAAGAGAAGCTGCTGGAGAGCCGCATACGTCTCCTTCCCTACACCCCTGTAGCTATCTGGGGCCCGCGTGCGACACACAGTGGGTGGTCCATGCACATATGTTATATTTAATGAGATAGAAGAAAAAACTCATGAGGGGCGAGAGCTGGGAGGAAGAAAGCTGGCTGAGCAACAGGCTGGAAGTCCTCCGCGGGTCCATGTGGCAGGCATCCAACTGCTAGAGACCCCAAGGCACATCTCTTGGTGCTGACCTCATCCCTGATCCGCTGTCCCCCCACAAACCTGGCCAATGCTTCAAGATAACTAAGACGCCGTTTTATGCTTCCCTGTCCCTGTATGGCCACTTTATTTTCCAAACCAAAAGTGAGATGCAGTGCCTGACAAGAGCAGAGCATCTGACATGGGTCTTCCCTAGAAAGTCCAGAGTGTGCGCTTACCGATTCTCTGACCAGCTCTATGGCACCAGCTGGAATGGTGATCGGGGAACAGGGCAAGGGTAGGAGGCAGGTTCCCCATCCAAACGGGCTCACACCCAGGACCGCCACCTTCCCCGCCTCTCATGCCCTCAGCACCCCAGCAGCGCTGCAGACATACTGCCCTCATAAAATGCACCCTAATAAAAGGTAATCATGGTTTCTGTCTATCCTCTGCAAGAGCTAGAACCACTTCTTTTCTAGTTTTAAATCCCCAGGTCTGGCAAAGTGCCTGGCACATGGCAGAAGCCGAAAAAACGTTGAACTAAATCAAATCTGGACTAAACAGAAGAAGTGGAGAGTTCTTCCATGAACAAGCCCCCAGAGGGAAGACAAGCTCCATCTTGGTTTCTGCCCAAGAAATCAATCAATAGCAAACACCTAAGTGAACGGGGGCTAGGGCGAAGGGAGCAAAGAACACAGGGTGTCCTCCCATGGACTCTGGAATGGGTGCGAGGGGACAGATACTGCAAAAGAATGAAGAAGTGTCTTCAACCACAATTTTTTAAAAAGCCAGGTCCAGTGGCTAGCTGTCAGCTACAAGCAGGAGTTTCGGTTTCAAAGCCATCAATGATGTTTTCCTGAATCCCTAAATGGATCCAAAACACTGTTGTACTCTAAGGCGTCCAACAGGAAATGCTGTTCTAAGTGGCGGCCAACAATGAGCCAGTGCTTCAGACATGGCGCGTGCGGGTCTACGATCACACCTGGTCCCAGCCACAACCCTGCAAACAGAAGAACTAGCACCTTCACTTTACAGACAGCAAGATGGAGAAACAAAAATTAAACAATTCTCCCATGCTAATACGGATAGTAGCATACAGTTCAAATGAAAATAATGTCCTCTGATCTCAACACCTATGTTCTATCAATCAAATTATGATACTTAACTTTTTTATAGCAAAATCTTTGAAAATTAATGTGAAAATAAGGAGAGTGAAAATCCAAAGAATAAATAAATCCACTAAAATAGAAAAATTCTGGCGGCATCATATGTTTATATATTTTAGGTATAAGTGCATAATTAAGGCTCAGAATTATGAAACGATAATATATATAGGATAACAAATTACACCAAACATGCCTTACACACTACTGCATTGATCTTGTAAGTAAGAACGCCTTGCTACCCGCCCTGAAGGGAGAATTACAAACCTTGCACATGGAAAGTCAGTGAACCCATCGCAGCCAGCCTGACTGTTGCCCCACGGAGAAATGTGCCCCTTGGCTGAAACCTGAAATGTACCATGCACATTTTTACGTGGCCCCAATTGTCTTTAAAAGCCGATAGCAGTTTCACTCTAGTTAATCAGTAGACAAGAAGGCCTATATGCTTCCATAAAAGGATGTTCCTCTGCCCTAAACCATGAACAATCTCCATGACACCAAACCAAACAGGCGACCGCCTCCTGCCTCCTTCGGGTGAGATTACAGTCAGGAGGGGAGCCCTGTGGACATGTGGGAGAAGAGAGAAAGGCTCATGCAAAGCCCTAAGGCAGGAGTCTGCCCGATGGGTCTGAGGAATAGGGAAGGAGCCGGTGTGGCCGGAGGGGAGTGAGTGACAGTGAGGACACACAGGAGAGGGGCGGGCAGGGGGTGTGAGAACGTGAAGGCCATCGTAAGGATTCTTTTGAGCAGAGAAGTGACAAGATTTGACTCATGTTTTCAAAAGATCGCTCTGGCTAATGAGTTTAGAACAGACTGAAGCAGACAAAGAAAGACTTGGGGAGGCAGCTATTACAGTAGTACCGGTGAGACATGGTGTAGCCCAGGCTGGGTGACGCAGAGGTGGGAGGGCAGATGAATCAGGATACATTTAGAAGGTAAAGCTCTGGGATCTCCTGAAGGACTGGATAGGAGGAATCAAGGATGGCTCTAAGGTTTCTGGCCTGAGCAACTAAGAGTTTAGCGTTAGTAGAGCAGGACAGGAGATAAGATCGGGACTTCCGTTTGAGACATGTTGAGACATCGGCTAGATATCTAAGTGGTGACTCAAGAAGGCAAAGGCCACCAGTGCCCAGACCCTGGGTGGCTCTTTCCTTTGTGTTACTGATCCGACCTCCATGGTCTCTCCCTTTGCCTGCCCTCCTCCCACCAGCCCTTCCCTCTGCCCGTCCATTCCCACTATGCCCACAACAAGAGCCAACACAAGATGCCCAGCCTGGCCTTTCCTGGAGGTCAGTGCCGGCGTAAGAGGCAGGGTGAGCTTTCAGAGTGCAGAATGAAAAGGCTGCAGTTCTGAGTCTGGGAAACAAGTTCAAGCTTGGCTTTTTTCAGATTTCTTCTCCCACAGGAGCAGTGCAGTGCATGGGTCTCAGCTTGTCTCTAGGGGAGAGAGGCAGACACGGGAGCAGGTGGGCGGGGCTGGAGGAGTTCTGCTGGAAATGAAGACTCAAATGTTTTCCTTCTTCTTTCTCACTGGTCTGCCCTTCCTCCCAACTGGAGTTGGGAAAGGGGCCATGGAAGCCCCCCTGCATGAGCCAAATGTGTGGACCGTAAGCCGGCCTGTGGACCAGGCTGAAGGAGCTGAGCCCTGTGGCCCCTCCTGCAGTCGACCACACTGGGGTCTGGAAGAGGCATTTCGTAAGGAGAGGGTGAACTGGCCGGGGGCAACCTCTGTGAGACTCTGAGCACTCACGGCAGTGGCGGCGGCTGGGGAAGGACCTGCGATCTGCTTCCGGCCACTTCTCAGTGACTTTCCACCCTGGAGCCATGACCAACACATGGCAATAATCATCCAGATGACCTTCTTGTTCAGCTTTCTTCCCTCTGCCAACCGTCATCCTCATTGCCGCCAAGGCTGGGAAATGCCACTCTGATCCTAAGGGAACTCTTCCATTGCACAGATGCTATCCTCCGCTTACACGGGAATGAACACTTACCGCTCCCCATGTTTCCACACTTCCTCTCGCCTTCCTCCCCAGCAGGCCTTTGCTGGCACGGTTCCCTCCAGCAGAGATGCTGATCCTCTTCCCACCCATCCCTGGGTCACCACAAAGCCAAACCCCATGCATCCCTGCAGAGCCAGAGAAACGCCACATCTTCACGCAGCTCTCCCTAACTCCCCGGCTGCAATTAGACTCTCTGACCTGTAAAGAACTACGCATTTCCTTTGTTCCCTTTCCTAGCTCACCAATCCCCACCTTGTGTTACAGCAACATGCACATAAATCTGAGCATCTCTTCACGGCGGAGACCACCTCGGGTTTATGCTCATATTCCTCAGACTCCTTGAACTGGGTCAACAAATAGTTCTTAAATGAAGTCACACTCGCGGGCTAACCACCACCAGAGGGCGCCCCTGAGCTGTTCAGCGTCCATAGCAACCAGGTGAAGAGCGTGGAGTTAGGGGCCAGAGTTTCCTCCCCAGCATCACGTACTCCAGGAGCCAGACAGGAAAGCCGAGATAAAAACGTCCGGATTTTGTAAGTGCATATTATTGTAAGGGGATATTATTATTAGGACAAG